GTGGCAGTTTGATGGTTACAATTTGTATCCGTTTCCTGAAAACCTTTTTTCTTTTTGATACATTTCAGGTGTTTACTGTAACGGGGTTTTCGATCTTTACGCCTGCTGGCCGTTCTCCCCTCCCGGCAATGTGTCCGTGGCCTGTCCGTGGTATCTGCCGAAGAAGGACAGAGGTACGGATCCATAGACTCACGTGGCTCTGCGTATCACCAACAATTGTCATTTCTATTACATAATCCTCCTTTGTTCCATCTCAGTGCTAACCTCCTGCAGCCTCTATGCAGCCACTTCCTGTCTATATGACCCCAGTGACTCCTGCAGCCTCTATGCAGCCACTTCCTGTCTATATGACCCCAGTGACTCCTGCAGCCTCTATGCAGCCACTTCCTGTCTATATGACCCCAGTGACTCCTGCAGCCTCTATGCAGCCACTTCCTGTCTATATGACCCCAGTGACTCCTGCAGCCTCTATGCAGCCACTTCCTGTCTATATGACCCCAGTGACTCCTGCAGCCTCTATGCAGCCACTTCCTGTCTATATGACCCCAGTGACTCCTGCAGCCTCTATGCAGCCACTTCCTGTCTATATGACCCCAGTGACTCCTGCAGCCTCTATGCAGCCACTTCCTGTCTATATGACCCCAGTGACTCCTGCAGCCTCTATGCAGCCACTTCCTGTCTATATGACCCCAGTGACTCCTGCAGCCTCTATGCAGCCACTTCCTGTCTATATGACCCCAGTGACTCCTGCAGCCTCTATGCAGCCACTTCCTGTCTATATGACCCCAGTGACTCCTGCAGCCTCTATGCAGCCACTTCCTGTCTATATGACCCCAGTGACTCCTGCAGCCTCTATGCAGCCACTTCCTGTCTATATGACCCCAGTGACTCCTGCAGCCTCTATGCAGCCACTTCCTGTCTATATGACCCCAGTGACTCCTGCAGCCTCTATGCAGCCACTTCCTGTCTATATGACCCCAGTGACTCCTGCAGCCTCTATGCAGCCACTTCCTGTCTATATGACCCCAGTGACTCCTGCAGCCTCTATGCAGCCACTTCCTGTCTATATGACCCCAGTGACTCCTGCAGCCTCTATGCAGCCACTTCCTGTCTATATGACCCCAGTGACTCCTGCAGCCTCTATGCAGCCACTTCCTGTCTATATGACCCCAGTGACTCCTGCAGCCTCTATGCAGCCACTTCCTGTCTATATGACCCCAGTGACTCCTGCAGCCTCTATGCAGCCACTTCCTGTCTATATGACCCCAGTGACTCCTGCAGCCTCTATGCAGCCACTTCCTGTCTATATGACCCCAGTGACTCCTGCAGCCTCTATGCAGCCACTTCCTGTCTATATGACCCCAGTGACTCCTGCAGCCTCTAGCAGCCACTTCCTGTCTATATGACCCCAGTGACTCCTGCAGCCTCTATGCAGCCACTTCCTGTCTATATGACCCCAGTGACGGCTGCCATGACATGTCTCAGGGCCGGCTTCCTGACGGTGACAACAGTGGCCCGTGTCTGTGTAATGTGTGATGGAACGGTCACTTGTAGCCTCCATGAGAAGCCCGGGTGACAACACAGGAGAGGAAATTGTGGAGAGGGACAGAGTGTTGTCACTCTGTAACAGGAAGTGCCTGAACAAGAACCTCTATGACAGGATCACCAGGGATCAAAGATGGTGCCGTCCTTCTGGAGAGAAAATCAGATGGAGTCATTGTCAGGGTGAGTCATGTGACCTCTGCGAGAGGTGGTGATATACACCTGGGAGGGTTATAGTGAAACATGTGGCAGCTAACATGAGACATGTATGTGATGACAGGTCCTCTTTAATGTCTGGCTTTGCAGTTACAGTCTCTTGTGACTCCTCTGTGTGTCTGCTTCGTTGTAGGGAGCGGCGGCTTCGCGCACAGGCTCTGCACCGACAATGGGACTTGGCAGACGGATGGGAACAGATCTGAGATTTGGCGCGATGTGTCGGAATGCCCGTCTCTAATTACTGAGCTGCATGTGAGTCTGACGTCCCGGGACCACCCTGAGTTCGGCGGGGTCACCCTTAGGTTGGGCTGGGTCACCCTCAGGTTGGGCGGGATCACTCTCAGGTTGGGCGGGATCACTCTCAGGTTGGGCGGGATCGCTCTCAGGTTGGGCGGGATCGCTCTCAGGTTGGGCGGGATCGCTCTCAGGTTGGGCGGGATCGCTCTCAGGTTGGGCGGGATCGCTCTCAGGTTGGGCGGGATCGCTCTCAGGTTGGGCGGGATCGCTCTCAGGTTGGGCGGGATCGCTCTCAGGTTGGGCGGGATCGCTCTCAGGTTGGGCGGGATCGCTCTCAGGTTGGGCGGGATCGCTCTCAGGTTGGGCGGGATCGCTCTCAGGTTGGGCGGGTCACCCTCAGGTTGGGCGGGGGTCACCCTCAGGTTTCCTGCCCCTCTGATGGAATTTGGAGGTTTTCCATTAATTATAATAAAGAAGTTTTTATGTTTTTATTTCTCCGGTAACCTTCCCCGGCTCTGATTGGTTGTTTCTTCTCAGCCGATGCCGACGCCCTTCCTGAAAATATGTTACACTATCGGCTATTCCATCTCCCTGGGGACCCTCCTGGTGGCTCTCTGCATCCTCCTCGCCTTCCGGTCAGTATATCCTACAACAGAGA